GCCCAAACTGTGGATACATTCCCACACTACAAGATACTCACGCAAATCAGGATAATTCAGGACCCCTGGAAATACTGGGGCCGTGGGAGCCACAAATCCAGGCTGTGCAGGTGGGATATTGGGATTATACGGAGATATATTGAAACCAGCAGGAGGAGCAGCACCACCTATAGGGGCACTTGGAGCTATGGGAGGCATTGGTGTTGGGTATGAGGTTGAAGGCAATGGCAGGGGCTGGAAAGGAGCTGCTGGCTGGAACAAAGTGAAGTTTTCTCGCAGGGGAATGGAGCCAATGATCAGGGGAACTTCGTGATCCAAGTTGCCGTGACATCCTGAAGGACACACCTTGAACTAGAAAAGGAATAAATGTGAGTATAATGAAGCCAGATATGAAAAGGATTGGGCTTGGTTTTAATAAAATACAAAAGGTAACCTGAGAGCTGCTAATACAACTGAAACCAGATCCCATTAGTTAAAGTATTAATACCTTGTCTTAACTCCAAGTTTTCTCATTTTTATCCACTTTGAAGTTTATTACAGTATATTAATCCTTTTACTATTCTGATTAACATCTTACAATAGCATTAATAACTTTTTGTAAAACATTCTTTTCTGATTAGTGGGCAATTATGTATTTCTTATCTAATGCTATTTTAATGGGCAGTTAGGGCCCCTTTCCCCCTTCCCTTTCCCTTTCTTTTCCTTTTTTCCTTCTTCTTCCCTTCCTTTTTCCCTTCCCTTCCTTTCCTTCCTTCTTCCTTTCCTTCTTCCTTCTTTCTTCCTTCCCTTCTCTCCCCTCTCCATCCCTTTCTCCTCCCTTCTCCTCTTTTCCTCCCCTCTCCATCCCTTTTCTCCTCCCATCTTTCTCCTCCTCTCCAGCTCGGTCCCTCTCCCTCTTTTCCACTCTTCCAGTCTACCGGACTTCCATGCTCTCTCCCTCTAAAAAATCAAGGACTGTGGTAAATAGCTGAGGAGAAATAGACATAGGACTGAGGTAAATAGGTGAGGTGAAGTAACTAACATAGTAACTAACTCAATGTGTACACATAATCAGTAAAACTAAATTGCAGTGGACAGTGCATATAAAATCACTCTAAGCATCATCAGAATAAGAGGATAAATGACAATGGCAGAGGCAACTGATGCTACCAGCTGTATTTAACCTGTTAGGAAGGGGCACAGCCTTCAGAGATGTCCACATGAATCAATTCACATATAACATGTATAGTATTGTACATTCAACTGGTTAAATTATTTGAATCACATAGATATTCACTATTCTAAAAGGTCTCAAAACCTAAAGAAATGCCTAGCTACCTGAAGAGTAAATATGATTGTCTTAACTATATCTTACTACAAAACTGATGTAAATAAAAAAAATAAATGAATGAATCAGAATAAAAAAAAAAAAAAGCATGAAACAGATTTTTATCAAACTTTTTGTCTTTTCTATTATCTAATATGATATCATTTCCAAAAGCAACATATATTCAATTCTACAAAAACAGGTCTTCTTGGCAAAGCCAGTAGTGGATCCAGGAGATGCCCTCCTAACATGATGTAACACACCATCGCAGCAATAATACACAGTATACATAAAATAGTGCATAATTTCAGGCATCTTGTAAATACAGTATTGCTGAAAGCTGTATGTGCATTTGATATCCAATGAGTTTTCAAGTACATGTAACCCTGTGTGTGTTAACCTTTTTTCCTTAATGAAACCATGAGTGCCTTAATCTCCTACTTAGTGCTGATTCTAGGTTTACCTCATTGATCATCATGCAAGTGCTATAGATTGCTTTAAAATGACTGGAATATGAAATGCCACCAGAGAAGCTATGTGCCCCCTCCTGGAACATCTTGGATCTGCCATTGGACAAGGTATGCCTATACTTTACACTAACATGCATTACAAACTTAAATTTACTATGGCACTCTTCATGAAATTTTGTCAGGTCCACATATATTCTATCAAGAATAGCTTGACTCTCATTTCAAGATATTCAAACTTCTATCATTTTATATTGTGAAAAAGCTTTACATTATGCCACTAATCAATTAGTAGAGGGTAATTTATTTACAATCTTACCTTAAACTTGTAGTCTATTTCAATATTATTACAGAACTGTAATTTGCTGGGGGGTAATGGTGGCACCACCAGCCCCACCTCTGACCAGATGTAATCGTCACCTTCAGGAATTGCTTCCTTTTTTATTTGTGCAACTTTGCGGTCTATTGTTTTTGTTTTTCCTTGTGCATGGAATTTAATAATCTGAAAAAAAGATAAGCATTAGAACATACTGAATATTCTTAGCTATAGAGATAAACAAAACATAAATATACACAAGAGAGCCCTATAATTCATTGCCCCTTAAACTGCCATCAGGGATATCATTTTTTGGGGGGGGGAGGTGATATACCCCTCTCAATCGTGAAAAACGCTCCTTTGCATGGCTTAAAAAAAAAAAAAAAAAAAAAAAAAAATCAGGGCAGGGCACAGCAGGGCAGATAAAACAAATCTTTATTAAGTTAATAACTTTATACAGCTTAAATAGGTCATGAAAATGGAAAATTTTGGACTTGATTTGGTAAAATAACTGACAGGACAAATATGTTTCAGCAGGGCAAAATTTTTTACATCCCCCCATAATATTATGAAGTGATGTCCCTGACTGCTATTTAGTTTTTCATTATCCAAGTTTTGAAAAAGGTGACAATAACTTTTGTTGTGAATGTGAATACAATATGCTTGACCAGTGTTATAGCACCTGTACCATTAACATTCCCACACATCACTCCATGCTGCAGGCCATAAATAAAGCTGTCTCTCCTTTCATTCTTTAATAAGCATTGTGTAGAAAATGGAGTGAATCATTCATTCCCATGCACCCTTACCAAACCTATTCTCCTTCAGAAGTCTGTCTTCAAATTGAATTTAAGGGCATAGATGACAAAAAAGCTGTTAATCCTCACCTATCCACTTTATCAATGCATACAAACATGAGTATTTTACCTTCCACACTCTAGAAAGTAATTTTAGCAAAATTATGTAAACTACTAAGTTTTATCTCTTGTCAACTATACTAATGGTTTTAGGTCTTTGCAATTTCATCAAAAATATGTTCACCAATAAAATGTTTCCTAGCAAGAGGATTTTCCTTTTAACATGTTTGGCATACTGTTTTACTAAACTGAAATATTTATTGGTAAAGATAACTAAAAACATACAATTTTCTAAAAGAATTCAGAAGCACTTTTCACATCACAATAACTCTAAAACTCTGTTCTCCAATATCTAAAATGTTCTCATATTCTTGTTTTTTATTTCATATATTTACTTACAATTTATAATCTCAAATGCTTTGGAAAAAAAAGAAATTCACATTCATATATATTTCTATCTTCTTTTCCCTGAATACACAAAAATATGATATCAAACTGGAACTTTTCCTGTGATATACAGTATTTGCTGTAGTATCAAGTGGATACAATAAATAGTATTTACTGTAAGGAGTTTGGAGTGATATAAAAAAAATTGTGCACATGCATACCTTGATATAAATCACTTACAAGATATTGTTCACATGATCTATCACCATTTTTATCAATTTTGTACATCACAAGGATTTTCAGTTTTTTATACTGCATAGTTCATCCAGTTAATTATAGAAACTTTCAAATATCCCCAGACTACTTAGCTATTAACCAAAATTATCTCTCTTATCTTCTTCAAAGAAATACATCCATCAATCCATCTATCTATGTCTGTGTATGTATATACATTTAAGTATGCATGCATGCATGTAAGTAAGGAAGTAAGTAAGTATGTAAGTAAGTATGTATGTATTTACCTATCTATCCATCTATCTACATTACATGTAAAAGTTAAACACATTATACTTATAGACAAATAGATAGATAACAAACTAATATCACACAACATAAAACACATCCACACACCACAGAAACAAAAGACTAAAAAACTAAAAATCTCATCAAAAGTAAAATTCCTTCCCCACACATAATTCCATAAACTCATACCTGATGAATATTGGCCTCGGTATAATTCACCACACTATTGGTCTTGTTCGAGCACTCAGCGTTGATCAAAATTTTCTCTCCCGGAACGTAGCCAGAGCGAGACACACGAAGAACCATTGACAAAGGCCCACTCTTACACCACAGGCAACACAGGTACTTATGTTCATTACACTGGATAGGATGCTGTGGTTAAAAAGGAGAAACTATTATAAATAACTTTATGGTTTATCTTCGAAATAGAAAGATTAAGAATGTTATTTCTTGATTTCCAAATGATGTGAATTGATGATGATGGACATATCTGTGGAAATGATAATGAAGGTAAAAATGACAATGGCAATAATGATGGCTATGAAAATGAAGTTAATAAAGACAAGGATGATAATGATATAACAATAACAATGCTGATGATGATATTGAGAACATTAATGACTTTAATGACAAATAAAAGCTGTGCCAATTGATGATAATGACAATGATGATGAAGCTGATGACTATGATGGTAATTATATACATCATCTGTATGAACAGAACTTCAGTTTCTATGCTGATACGAATATGAACCTGATTCTTGTAAAATACAGTGCTCATATCAACTACATTTGGTGTAAAGACCAACAAAGCTTGCAAAAATAGTACTTAAATTGTATGCAAGATATACCGGACTAAATATAACATATCTGGCAAAGTATAGACGTGAAAATATTACAGAACTGTAAAAATTAACTTTCTTGGGAAATATAGAATATATAATTCCATATCAAAATGGTTAAGATATCAATAGCTTCCTGAACATCATTCATCAATTATATACCTCAACCAATATTAGCTTCAATATGCTTCTACCATATAATTTTATGGGCTTGTGTTGGTGACTGAAACAACTAACCATACTTGCTACCAATAACACTTGCCTTTGCTACTGGGTCTGTGTTCAAGTCATAAAGGCTGTTGAC